ATTTTGGCTTTGTCCCTCAGGATCGTTACAGGCTTTCCACAGTGAAAACCATTTTCCTACTCTTTGTATAGCCCTTATAATAACCGTGCCCAAATCCTAATTGAGCTTCTGGACACAATCAAAATAAAAACATTTGAACGAAGATAGTTATTTGAAAGTTTTTGTAAAAAGGTACTCAGAATCAAAAAAGATAAAGATGCTAGGAACTCTTTTTTTTAATTAAGTATTTTTGTTTTAAAATATTCAGGTGTTACTCAGGTACACATTTACTAGAAATTTCAGAGTCAGATTGCCAGTCTTGTGGAATACCAAATAGTTTCACTGAGCACATAATTTTTGCTCTAGTTCCCTTAAAGAATATTTTCCCTAAAGCAGTAGTGTAGAATAAAGCTTTTACCTCTCAGGTCTCGCATCAGAATTACTGAACCTACCATTAAGTTTTCTCAGGTTCTCCCTGGGATGATTTAGGATCATCCAGTCCAAACCTAATTTTTTTTTTTATTCTTTTTTTTTTTTTTTTTTTAAGTATTTAAGGTAAAATTATTTAATGCTTGTAATGTTATTAATCAAAAAATAGTGGTTGCTCTTTTGTATGTTTGACAATTAACTGTTCCGGTGAAATAATAAGTACTGTTAATGGGATCTAGTTGAAAAATTGTAAAATCTCAATTTTTGAAGTCCTTTTGAAAAACTGAGTGTTACTGGTTGAGGAAACAGACTGTTGCTGTGTTTTCCGTTAATTATTTTTGATCACTGTGATATATTAAATGAAGATGTAAAGATTTAGTGGCCTGTTTTTATCCTGATCTGTTGCTGAAGCGTGCGGAGGTACATTGTAAAATTGAAAAGACGAAAACAAATAAAGCCTTTTATTATATATGATATCTTAAGATGAGGGGTAGGGGGGAAAATGCAGAAGTGGCAATAGGGAGGGGTGAATGAAGAGAGAGAGAGAAAGAGGGAGAAAGAAAATGTACATGAATTGGGAAGGACGGAAATGACAGTAAGAAAGGAAGAAGACAAAAATACAGTGAAGGTTTGTTCACCTTCACTGAGAGGGGCTGTGTTGTGTTATTCTTCTAGCTGTTTAATTCCATTCTTGTTTGGTTTTATCCTTAATGTCCCTGTAGGGTTGTAACATTTTTATATTTATATGCAAATGATGCTGTATGAAAGCATAATTCTAGTTAGTTAATTATAGTACAGGAGGTGTTGTAGTTTGTATGGTAAATGATGAAAGAAGCTCATCTTAAATATATTCCATAAAAGGAGAGAAAAAGCATTATTTCTGATGACTAGGTTTTTGAGTATGATGATTCTGAGCGTGGAGATAACTTCTGAGCACTTAAAATTGCCATTAGAAAGGTGACTAGTGGAAGTATTTAATAGGAGCAACTAAAACCTTGCATTAGTAATGAGCCAGTTGGTATAAACGGAGCTATGCCGGTTAAACCAACTGAAAATCTAAGTTTAAGCACAAGTCGATAACCATTATAATATTTATGTTAGAGTTACCAAGGCACTCCAGAAAGTTTTGAACACTCCAAAACAGAATATTTAATGTTCAGTACTCTCGGCAGAAGTGGTGACAATGGAGTTAAATAAATTTTCAGTGAAACTTTAACTCGGTAGCATGGTGTAAATGTGGACAAAGTGTAGGATTTGCCTTTGATTTTGGACTACTTTCTTTTTAATGAGTTTGTGACTTTGTGCTTTTCCAAATACACAGTGGGTCCTGTATCTGATTTTGATTACTGTGGCAGTCTAAAATCATGATCTTAAAGGGCCTTTGTGATTGCTTTATGTATTACAAGTAATGTTTTACAAACTTCCTTCTCCTGAATAGGAACCAAAAGACGTTTTCCATTAGTGCATTTTTGTCTGCTGTCTTAGTTACAGTGTAATTATATATGGTGTATATATTAGGGATATCTATCAAAGGCATAGTATATCTGTCAGTGATCTGAAGAAACGCACTTACTCCTTTATTGTTCATATGCTTCTCCAGCTTTGGAAAGTATTTTTTGGAAATAGATTCTTACAGACTTTCAGCTCAGCTGTAAACTATACAGCCCTTTTTGTTGCCATGCCATATAATTACTTCATCTTTACATATAATGTTTTGCTGGAAATATTGTTTCTGGCACTATAATGAGCATCTTCATTGCCTGATATGTATATGCTGTGAACTTTATATTGTGGACTGTTAGCTATTGGATATGGCTCACTTGATCTTAGAGTAGTTAGTAGTGATTAATTAATTGCGTTCCTGAAATCCTAGCATGAGCTAAGTTGTTCCAGTACTCGTCAGTGATTACACCAGCCCAGTTCTTTCTTCCACTGTTTGTGTTGGAGTCGGCTCCTGTGCTCTCCCTAAATCTTCAGTGCTGCAGTGGATAGCCCGTTTACATCAATCCGTTCTATCTGGTACTACAGTAAAAATATAATCTGTGAACAGGAAGATGTAGGAGATAAGTAGCAGCGCCATAATTTTTTAACTCAGGAAAAAAAAACAGGAAAAAATGTAATGGACTTTTTCCATCTTGGAATGAGGCATGTTTTGCATAACCTTTTCTTCCTCATTTCATATTCTTGAATCAAAGTATAAACAAGCAGTACAATAAGCGTAATTAAAATAGAAAGCCATTGAAAGCTGAATTGGGAATAATCTAAAACTTTGCATTTTTTTTCTTCTGTTCTCCTGATCTCTAGTTGTGTCAGTGCTTTGGGCAATTGACCCAAATGTATAAAAATAGAATAGCTAGCACATCTGCTCTTTACTAGTGCACAATAGAGCAAAACTGATGCATGCTACTGGAGAAGGATCCTTGCCAGAGTAATGGGGATTACAGTGTAGGTAGTCATAGGAACCAGGGCCAGCATAGCGCTATGACGCTGCCTGTGGCTAGCATTGCCTTCCACTATATAGCACCTCATAATTTGCAGGAGACATGATTTGCCCACATTAAGCTGGGATTGGGGGCATTATATGCAAGGTTAGTAACTGTTGGTTGCCTTATGAGCCATGCTGCAGATAAGGAGGGAAGCGTGGCAGAAGTCTGCTTGGTGAGCTCAACTCTGTACTGCCATCTCCCTGTCAGGTTGCCAGAAACCTGACTCTTTATTCCTATTGGCAGGGGCAAGAACTTGGCTTTACTTCCAGCTCAGCACCTGTGATTCCCAAAGAGGATGAAGAGGAGAAATAGAAGCATGATAAACAGCCCTGTTTCAGCTGCTGAACAGGTTTCCTAAAATTTGAACTTTCTGCTGGTGTCCTACGCTTTAGGAAACTATTTCCTTGGCTGCAAAACCACGGCAAACGTAGTGAGGAAGTACAGTGCTCGCTACAGACTCTGCAAGCAGTATCATGTAAGGGTTGATGTCACTGCCTGTACTCAGCCAAAGCGTGCATCCTGTATTCCCTTGGAGCTGCTATTCTTTCCCTGCTGAAGAGAGAATAGAACGCACATTTGGGTTTATGCTGAATCTAAATAATTATAATTAATCCCGCTAAAAGCTTATAGTATCAGAGGACACCTTAGATGTGGCACTGGTGCCCAGAGCTCCATAAGAGCTTTGAGACCCATTTCCTATCTTGTGATTATGCTAGAGTCTGACGCTTTCTCCATTGCCCTCTTTAAGAGTAAAACTCATTTGGACAGTCAAGTATGCAGTTTTGCTGTTCCTTTACTCTGCTGCTGGAAGTAAGGTTTTTGTTTTTTGTTTTTTAAATTGAAGCTCCACAGCCGTGTTGTTTCTGAACAGCTTGGTGCTTTATAGCTGAAGCCTGATTCTTACAGTTGAAGATACAAAGACTGGGTTGGGTCTACTCACTAAAGACCCAGAGACATTTCGTTCGCTGTTCCTCTCCGGCGCTGCTGTTCGCTACTGTCTGGAGACTGGGGAATCTCCTTGGCTCTATATATTGAGTAATAAATTCCTCATGTAGCCTCTATATTGCAGCTTAAAATGCAAGTGATGCTAAAAAGCAGACTTGTACCATGTCTTCAAGCTTCAGTATCCTTAGCTCTAATACAGCAAGGTACTTTCTTCCCTCCCTCATTTTGCCTCTGTTTTGCCACCAGTGCCAATTTAATAATAACCAAAATGTGGTTTAAACATGAGTGAACTCCCCTTCCCCTACCTTTAACCCCATGCTCTATGTTTAATGCTGTAGTTCGCATGCTTAAAATCAATAAATATTCTGTAGCACTGACACCATTGCTTCAGCACTGCAGCTTTCTTTGGATACTTGTCAGAGGTTTTTTTAAAAAAAAAAAAAAAAAAGAAAATCCTCTGCCTGTGTATTCACACTGTAGATCCTATGGTCATTCACAAAGAAAAAGCCTTTCCTTTCTCTCAAACTCGGTGCACATGTGTCTGTGCAGAGTAGAGTATAGAAAGTACCATTTCAGATCTGCACTAAACATTGGTAAATGGACTTTACTACAGATTGCTGGATTGGTGCCATCAATACTAGACTCTGCTCTTGCCTGTTCTCCCTCAGAATTATGCAGATGGCCTTTAAAGCTCCAGGAATTTGTCTCGCGCAAGATGAACATGCATTCTTACAAGAAGAGGGTGCTCACTGCATAAACTTCTCTCTGAATCTCTCTACTGCTTGAAAGCACCGTGGTAATATTATGGAGGCAGTGGTCATGCAGTTATATTCCTGTTCTCTAGTGTTTCATCATTGACTTTGGAAACAGTGCTGATACTGCTTCCAAGAAAAGCCCATTTGAATGCCTGCGTACCTGAGCCATCTGAAACTACAGCTAGCACCAGATGCTATCTCCTTGTTATGGTGATGAGTCCTTCACTCACAAGGTT